ACTGAGGACATTAATGACCATAAGAACTGAAGCGATATATTCAATATTTATAATATTGTATTTAAAAATATGTATGTATGTACATATATATTAGTATGTGTGTTTATTTGAACTTATTTTGAGTTTGTTTTTATTCAGTTTTGCATATTTGTTTTTACTTTTTATTATTATTATTTATTGAATCTCATCGATGCGTTGTCAAAATGTTTATGCTTGAATTATATTGGATATGGGAAAAAATTGATTACGTACATATATCGTACCTTTGATATTCAATAGTACTGTTCGACTTAATGAAGAAAGAGTATGCGAAAATAGCGTTCTAAACATTTCAATAGTTTTGTAATAAAAAATTATTTGGATTATTTTTAAGTTTTTATGCCAATTCTATTGTTATTTTAAGTGCAGTTTAAATGACAGAAGTAATTTACTACGTAGAATAACCATGCTTTCCATCTAATTTTGAATATTTTTTGAATAAAATATCAATATGAAGATTAATTTTGACTCTATGGACTTGCGGCATTTTTACATAAAATAAATATATAATAAAACGAATATAACTGTTACCCATACCAAATACTGTAGATAGAAATATAGATATTTTATGTAGATACCTGTACAATTCTCTTCGTATCCGTTGGTGAGTTTAAGTTAATGTTAAAATATTTTGTTTTAGTTAAAATTTGCTAAAATATATCTGTATGTGCGTGTTTATAAAATTAAAATATTTATCCATGACATTCATTATAAATTTATAAATAGAAGGTAAAATCTCTTTTAATTTTTGCTTAACCGAAGAGAATAAGACATGTTTCCGTAGTTATAACTTAGAAATGTTTTTTTAAATAAATAATAATAATCTAAAGTGTATTTACGTCAATTTAATAAAATCAGTTTTTAGATGACCTAGCCCAAAACTATTTCTACAATGTACTAAGGAGCCTTTGTGTATGATATAAAACAATCAGTAATTGGATATACATATGTCAATTTTTGTAATACATATTAGATTTCCGATTATTAATCTAAAAATCAGAGATATAATAATTTTTTAAATTGTATTATACATACATATAAAAAATAGCAAATACCCAGTGAAATGGGTAAATTACTATAATTTAATTATAATTCTATTATTTTTGTACCTACCATCAAAAAAGATAGGAGTTATATTGATTTTGTCATTCCGTTTATAACACGTTGAAATATTGATCGTAGAGCCACAAAAGTATATGTACGTATATAGGGTTCTTATTAAATTCAAAGATGATCTAGTCAGGGATGATAGGGACCACACCTGAGGAACATAAATATTGTCTATTGATAAGGTATGTTGTATTGAAAGTGAGCAATATCGGTCTATGATACTTTTGAAATTAGTTAATTATATAGCAATCGTGATAAAACTTCGCCCAATTTAGTTTTATGCAACAAAAAATTATATTGAAATATATGATGGACATCTGACAATAATTGACACTAACTACGATGTAAGGCCCCCTTTAGAAAATCAATTTAACGCCTATAAATGGCTTAAGAATAACAGTTTAGCGAAATTACGACGTAAACTAGTTTTATAAGACAACAATTAGATAAAAATAAGTTTTAAATTAGACAAAAATTTTATGAGGATTGGTTCCTAACTGATCTTAACTCCCAAATAACGTCCTCCTTTTGACTTTTAAAGCTCATAACCTACTTAATAATAGCAGTATAGCGACGTAAACAAGTTTTATGGGAACAAAAATCACTCTACTAAATTTTATAAGTATCGGTGCATAATTTACCCTATTCCCATATAACTGCATTTTAGTATAAGATCTGACCTCAATATAATCTGATAATTCTGATAATAATCCAAACTCGAATATAATTATTTTATTACATTTTTCGTGTGTGAGTTGTTCTCTGACCTATAGTGCGATCTCTTATAATGCTAATTTTATAATTAAATTTGAGGCTACGTTATGTATTTTTTATAAAATGTTAATAACCAGTAATTAATATATAGTAATTAATAATAAGAGACCCATAAAAATGACCCGTATAAGTTATTAATCAAACGTCATAAAAAACAGCATTTTTTACTCTATAATAGGATTTGATCAATAATTTATCCGTATATACTAAATAAATGGAAATAAATTGTGAAGATTTTAGTGTGTAGTTAGAATAAAATTTTTATTAAATAATTATCAAAACTAGGTAAGTTTTTTGAATTTTTTATAAAAATTGAAGAAGGTTTTATCCGAACATTTTTTGATTTGGCTCGAATTTCGACCGTAAGAAAAGGGGTAAGATTTTTTACTTTTGGTCAACTTTTATATTTTTCTTTTATATTTAGGAAATTTTAAAATAATTTTTAAACATACATACATACATACATACATACATACATACATACATACATACATACATACATACATACATACATACATACATACATACATACATACATACATACATACATACATACATACATACATACATACATACATACATACATACATACATACATACATACATACATACATACATACATACATACATACATACATACATACATAACATACATACATACATACATACATACATACATACATACATACATACATACATACATACATACATACATACATACATACATACATACATACATACATACATACAGAGGATTATTAAATTTTAAAAACAATATTTTGGCAACACTGATCATTATGATCTAAATCAGGGGTTCCAACCATTTTTTACTTCGGAATTAAATTTCTTTCGCGGACCCCCTTACACATTTTGATATCTTAGAGCTCAAAATAACACAGGCCAACGAAATGAAGGTTTGTGAAAACTTTTTAAACCAATTGGACTATTTTTAACGTGTTTTTAGCTTCTGAAACACTAAATGGTCGGAGGAATTTGTAATAACTTTTATAATTTTTAACAGATTTTAGTGTTTAATGCCTTATTGAAACGATAATTGCATACATATTTCAATTTACTGCTAAGATCCAAAATGCTTATTTTAGTGCCAAAATTTTTGAAAAAATCGCTTCCCTTTTCGAGCCGTGGTGCTGCCAGTTAACGTAGTCCTATCGCCCGAAATTGTTTAGAATGCATTTTAATAAATTTAAATATACATAAGTCTAGAGGTAGAGGCCTCTATTCGCAACATCTGAAAAAATACAGAATTTTATATTTGGGACTTAAGTTTATAGTCAAAACGACTAAAAGAGAAGAAAATGTGTGAAATTGGTGGGTGATATGACATTTTTATTTCCATATTCGGAATTAGCACACCAAAGACTAGTGAAAAATTTTTAAAAAGTTTTTTCACCGCTGGCCTGTTTAATTGTTCGTCCAAGAATTAACCCAGACTATAAATCCCTAGGACAAATAAAAGTAGAGATGTCATATACATATATGGCTTTCTTCTGAGCCAAAAAAAAGCAGTTTTTTGAAAAAAATTATTTTTTTTGGAAACAAGCTATTGCTTACCTATACTATCCAATAGTATTAATCGTGGTGCAAATTTCATAAAATCGGAAGACATAAATTTTAAAAGTTGGGTCACTTGACACCAAATTGCCCATATGTATAAAATATTCCGTTCATTCAGAATATTTAATATTTCAGAGAAGTTTCAATTGTATGGATTTGAAGATAGAATGACTTCTTTGATGAAATGTAAACATGATGTTTAATTGTATGATCGTGAGAACTTTAATATTCAAGTTGTACAGCAGACCATTATCGGCCTGAAATACAAACTTTTATTTCAGTACATAACATACAGAAAATAGCAAATATAAATTACAAATCAAGTAATACTCTACTTTATTAAATTGATACAATAAATTTGTAAGGACTAGCTTCGTCCTAATAAACAACCTAAAAAAAGAAATTCAAAAAGTCTTAAAAAAATCTTGGATGATTGATCGAAAACAGTGTATTTTAGTATTTATGGAAAATTTTGAGATATTTTTTGTAAAATTTATAAAAGCAGAATATTGTATATTTATGGTGTTTTTTCATTCGTCTTTGAGGACCCCGTAGGATTTTGCTACGGACTACCATTTGGGAACCGTTTTATTTTTTATTATACAAAATTATATTATTTTCATTTATATTCTAAAAACATAAATAAAATAAATGCAAAAATCTTATGACATCAAATTTGATATTAGTTTCAAAGTACTGCCGTGAACTTTAAAGAAACATTAAAAACCTATAAGATACTAAAACTTGAGAACTATTAACAACAAATTACTTAATTATACCAATGCTGATGATGATGATGTCAATGCATGCATGATAGTGCCGTTCTTTGATGGCTCTTGACCACAATTCTAATATACTGGATAAAACAATGTAAAGAGCCACAAACTTTAATGTTAATATTTTTCTAATTTTATTTTTGCATCGACAATGTACTTGACCAGAAAATTAAAAAAAAACAACAACAGAACCTAAACCATAACTTAAAAAAATATATGCATACATTTAATATTTAAATTTATAGACACAAACCCTAAACCTCAAAAAAATCTTAAGAAGAAAATAATTGTTGGACTCCACAACGCAATGGGTGACCGAATGTAAGTACATACGTATGTACATATGTATGAATGTTTGAATGTATTTACATACGTTAAGATACAAGATCAACTTGACCGACCGATGACCACAACGAAAACGACAAGAATTAAGCCAAAAACTATGCTAATAATGCCAAAGCAAAACTTTGTTTGCCAAAGCAAAGAATCTGCAATGTTACCATTAGGTACATACATACATACATATATACATAGATACTTGATGATCATGTTTGTGTGTTGTTAGTGTGTTAGTGGAAAAAGAAGTTAACCAAGTTAATAAGAATATCAATACAACAAATGAAGATACGAAAACGAAATCAAAAATGAAAACGAGCAAGCGATGCGAGCAGCAACAACAATAAACATTTTGGACGGAGTTAACCCTAGGTCGTAGAAGGCGTCGATACTTTAAGAAAACCCCTGCTTCACATCGAATCATCGTGCAGTTCGCAGTGAACGTGACAGTCGAACAAACGCAAACTCAGAAACAGTCTAAAAAAATATTAAATAAAATTCAAATAGTTAAAATTAAAATAAAAACATAATCAACAACAAATCGTCGTTGTAGTTGTAGCTGATTTTCAATACAACTTAAGAGTATTTAAAGGTACAAAAACGAAACGTATTAAGAAAAAAAGTAGATATATTTATGCATATATAATAATATAAATAAAAGAAACAATAAAATAGTGTTTAGAGCATTAACAAAAATATTAAAATACAAAAAAAAAAATAAAAAATAATAACAATCAAATAAGCAAACAAACAAATTTTGTATGTTTATAAAGACAGACTCTGCTCTCTTGTGCTCCAATCAACAGCAAGTTTCTAAGCACACAACCCGCCAGCTTTTAAAATCAACAAAATTCTCAGCACTAGAAGCGCGAAACATTTCGAACAGTCTTTAAAATTCGGTGTAATTACGCGAAGTTAAATTGTTTGCGAACTGACTTCGTGCAGTTAACATTTCAAATAGACTGGTGAGAAAGAACCTCTAGTGGATAAGTGACGGATTCGAATTCAAATTTCAAATAATTTAATTAAAACGTATAATTCCGTACAAATATTTAAGAACTTTTAAACGGAACGAGGCGTATTTATATAGAGAAATTTTTGTTTTGTTTTGGAAAATAAAAGATTTTAATAAATCTTAATTAAAGAAAAAGAACTTTATCCTGTTTTAATGTGAAGTGTTGAAAAAAATTAAATATTTTAAAATAGAAAAAAGAAAAACTTACAAAAAAATTCCAAAAGAATAATTTAAAATTAATATAAAATAAGAAAGTGAATTCGGTCTACTAAAGGATTATTACGAAAATTAATTTTAAGGACTAAAAAAAAAAACAAATAGAGGTAACTATTTGTAACCATTTATTGGTGGGTTCGTTTACAGCGAGAAACATTTTGAAATGTTGTTGAATAAAGCGAGAAAATCTGGTGAAATGTTTAATTAAAATCACAGTTTTTTAATTTTAGAATTATAGTTAATTTTAGAATTACAATCTTAATTTTAATTATGAACAAAATCCAGTTTAAAATTATTCCATAAATTTCTGGACAAGCCACTTGTAATTTTTAAAATGTGATAAAATAATTTAAATGCCGTCATTCTTTATTTTACAAAATTATTTGTAATTTAAAAACAGATATTAAGATATTAACAGAAAATATATTAAGAGATGGAATAGTGTCTGTTTATATATGCATTGAAAAGCAATTTTAAACTCCAAACGCTATAAAGATAACATTTTCCTCAGTAAAATATTCAAAATTAATGCGAAAACTTTTTAGTTGTTTCAACAAAAGTTTTGTAAACACATTTCTTTGGGGTTTTTAATTGTAAAGAAATTATAATATTATTTCATTTATGATTGAATTGAATATTTTAATCCGAAATTGTAATTCAATATTTTTAAGAATTACATTGTATGTATTCATTTACAAATGCAATTTCAATATACATTTTAATTTTGTATAATTATGAATTCATCATCATCATCATTATTATTGTTGCTATTAAAATATGACAGCTCTATGGATCATAAACAATAATAGGAACTGAATGGCAATACCTTAAAAGGATGCTAATCATTATCGTGAAGATCATCATTATGTTCAGCGACCACTGCGAAGTGGATCGATCAATTGATCAAATCTGAAAGTATAGAAAATACTTGGAAATTCGAAATTGAACAAAATCCTATTTAAGTATGCTTGGACATACATTTAAGTTGTCATGTGGCTTTGCATATCAATTAACAAAAAAAACAAAAACATCGATAAAAATAATAACAATAAAATATGTATATGATATATACATACATACATACATATAAATAGTTATACATATTTGAATAAATACTTTTATACATACATCCATATGTATATACATATATGTTGTCCATTTGTACAAAATAGTTAATTCTTTTGCAAAGAGGTGGGAAAAACGTGCTTTAGCATTTAAAATGATTTCCTAAAAATTGCCTCCACCCAAACACTAAGAAAGAACGTGAAATAAAAATTTAAATTCGAGTACAAAACTCGAAAATTTATTAATTATATAAATATTTATACATATGTATGTAGATAATATACTTATGTAGTGTATATTCATATACAAAAATACATACAACTTTAATACTTATGTATTTACGTAAATCTGTTTTAGAACAAAATAAAGAATCGATATGCCAAAATGTATATGAAGGTACCTGTATAAAATACATAATTTTTTAAATACATAGTTTTAACAAATAAACAAACATACATATTTATTTCAAAATATGTATATAGAGAGGGATAATAAAAAACCTGACTGGCTGACTAACTTTTTGACGTATGGTCAAAAGTTATTAATAATCATTCTTAATTAATAGAATAGAATTTAAAAAAATCCCGACAAACATCTTCATTAACCCTTTGTGGTTTCTACAAACATTTTGTGAGGAGTTTTATCTATTATCTATTCTTGAAATTTCAACTAGTTTTCTAAGGGGTTAAATTCTGTTTCTAGTTATGTATGTATATTTGTTTGAGTGGAATTATTTGTTGGGCTATTAATAATAGCAACATAAACAATAATTTTTTTCTGAACTTAATTTTAAGTGTAGCTTTTTTCTAATAGCCTTGATCAACTGTTTTATAAATAAACCCATACCAGTTAAACAGATAAAACCTGCTAAATTAGAAAGATTTGTGGTTAGAAAAGAATCATCATTTTTTTTAAGAAATAATAATAGCAAAATAATATACAAACACATATGTATGTGTTTGTATATATGTATACAATAATTTGTCAGTAGTAGTAGTCTTATGCAAATTGTTTGCGGAAGAACCAATAAACGAAACCAACCAAAAAGTAATCAAAAGATTATTATTAATTATAATCAGAATCAGCAGTAGGACTAGTATGTATGCTGAAAATAATTCCATTAAACTCTTGTTAAACATGTTTCATTATGAGACAGAAAAATAATTCACACAAATCTATCTAAAATTAATAATTTTTAAATTCTATAAAAAATTTGCAAAATTAGTAGTTCAATATCATGTTCAAGAACATGCTGATTGGTGGCAATTAAAGGCCAACAGGTTTATTTATATATTTATGAAATTCAAACAGATAACGATAAAAAGCTTCGAAACATTTCTAGCTACGAACAAATGTGAATCCATTAAATATCAATAGAGATTAGAGTGCATAAAACAACAACAACAATAATAATTCCTATGCTACTCTTGAATAAATGCAACTGCGACCTCATCAACCTTAGGTTCTTGGCAGGTTACTGTCCCAATTTGAAAAAAAATTAATAATAATTGCAGAAAACAAACAACAGCATTTTATTGTTGCTAGCAGCAACACATTCTATCACTCAAGGTCACATAAGTGGATATGCAAAGAATAATAAACTACATCATATATACATAGCAACATCAAGCATACAAAAGCAATACTGTTTAAAATCTAACAATTGTTGTTTTTTAATTTTTAAATTATAAAAACATTTTCAAATTCATCATTAGTGTCAAATGAAATGTTGTTCTAATGTAGCATAACAACTTATTTTAATTGTAGTTTAACTGTAGACACATTGGTTTATGTCTAGGCTATCTTATGAAAATTGCTGGACAAGAATCTTTTAGTTGGAAAGGTACAATTAAATTCCCCAATGTTTTGCAATTATTTTAAAATAAAGTACTTTCCGTTTTCATACTATAATCTTCAAGTAAATGTTATACTTTGTTATATACTCTGTGGCCTTATTTCAATGACTCACTCACTATTGACCCTGAATGTTTGTTGGGTTATTTTGAAAACTTACACGTACATAGATGTCATAACATTCTGTTTGTTTTCCTTCCGTTTAATTCGAATCTATTTGATTTGAATTCAGCGATTGTAACGTAATGTCTCATTTACTGTCGTCTGCAGATTAAACATAAATAAATCACAAATCTTAAAGCCTAGATCGCTTGTAATATACATGTTTAGCATTCAATTGGGTAAACTACAAAATTCATACATTTTGCAATACATTTCTAAAGTGATTGTTAACAAATATTCGTCACACAATTTTATGGTCGATTTGATAAGAAAAAATCCATAAAAAACAGAAATAGAATGAGTGTTGAATTAAACACGTTAGATCAGCCGCAGACTTTTCTTGTTTTAAAGCAGCAGCAACACACCGATAAAAAAAGACGTACATTAAATATGATAATAAACTCCAATAAATAAATTCAAACTTTAAAATTTAAATCGTACACACACGCTGATAGGTGTGTGTATACAGACCCATAGATTATGCTTATTGATTGTTGGTATTATTATTATTTTCTAAATTGGTCTTTGTTAAAAAGGTATTTACAAAACAATATACACACGTACGAATCGAAAAAATACTTCCTGCTTGTCTTGTTCTCTTTCGTTGAATATTCAAAATATTGAAAGAGATAATAAAATCGTATACAATAAATAAATTAGTTAGATATTGTTTTGTGGGGAGGAGGTTGGTTGTTTGGTTGGTTTGTTGGCATTTAGTTGCAGTCGATCGATTAATCATGTTAAGGTTGGAGAGATGACATGATTATCTTGTTTAAGGCTTTAAATACTTTGCGAAATTATCTATTCGTCTGACTGTCTACCAGTATGTGTGCTTACCTTTCTATCTGTCGGTATGATAAGTGTGCCAGTATGATAGAATATTACTTAGAGAAGACAACACCCGTTACATTTAATGAATAATAAATATGTATATGTGTAAACAAATGCATCATCATCACACATTAGAAATGTCTCATTTAAAATCTGTAACTGTAACTAACTCGTTTATTAGTCGAGAACATCAACGGGCAAAGGGTTCGGTTGGTTCGTTGCTTGACAAAACCATGTTACAAGTTAATACCAATATGTAAACAATAAAAAACTAATTCAATCGAACTAGTTTGTATTCAATAAAGTCATTTGAAAAATAACAAATTAACTTCACTAAGTATTCACACATCGTTAATCATATTTACGATTATTTGCCAAGTTTTCTCATTACACACTTAGAGAAATAATTGATTATAAATAATTTGTTTTTGTTATGCTTTCAGATGTCTCCTAATATTATAGGCAGTACTTTTATTTTGGCTGAAACAGCCATTTCTAATACAGATGCCAATAACAATAACAAGGCAAATGTAATGCAGTCATCAGCCGGCAATGCTGCTTGCCCAGTAGCCAGTGCCGCAGCTAGTGGCGGTAAAACCAACAAGACAAATGAAAGCGCTTCGTCAAAGGTGACTGCTGTCAATAGCGTTAAGAGCAGTACCAAACAGGAGGTGGCCCAAAAGAAACCATACAAGATGGAAATTGTCTGGCACAATGTGTTGTTGTTCATAATTTTGCACAGTGCTGCATTATACGGATTGTATTTGGTGTTTGCTGAAAATGCTTACATAGATCTTGCACTCTGTAAGTATAGATTTGTAAAGAAAAATGTGTTCAGTGTATAGAGCGGCTCTTTTTGAATGCCGTGTCCATTAGCATTCCACTCAGAAGTTATGAAATTGATGAATGTTTTCTCATTGTCTTTCGACAGCTTATTTTGTTGTGTTCTTTGGTGGTATGGGCATCACTGCTGGTGTACATCGTTTGTGGTCTCATCGTGCCTATAAGGCTAGATTACCCCTGCGTATTTTCCTTATGCTGTGTCAATCGTTAGCTTTCCAAAACAGCATTTACGAATGGACCCGTGATCATCGTGTGCACCACAAATTCACCGATACCGATGCTGATCCTCACAACTCTAGACGTGGTTTCTTCTTCGCTCACATGGGTTGGTTGATGTGCAGAAAACACCCCGACGTCAAGGAAAAAGGCAAACAAATCGATATGAGTGACTTGGAAGCTGATCCCGTTGTTATGTTCCAAAAGAAGTAAGTTTTAGTACATTGTAGTAAGTCGTTGGTTCTATTTTAATCGCATCATTTTCTTTATCATAGATACTACTTTGTCATTATGCCCATCTGTTGCTTCGTTTTGCCCGCCCTCTTCCCCTACTACTATTTGGGTTCATCTCTTAAGGTGTGCTTCTTCGTTGGTTCTATGTTCCGTTATTGTCTGTCTTTGCATGGCACTTGGTTGGTAAACAGTGCTGCTCACTTTTATGGCATGAAACCCTACGACAAGAACATCAGCTCCGTCAACAATAAAATGGTATCGGCTATTGCTTTCGGCGAAGGTTGGCACAACTATCATCATGTCTTCCCTTGGGATTACAAAGCAGCTGAATTGCCCAACTACTACAACTGGACCACTGGCTTCTTGAACTTCATGGCCAGAATCGGTAAGTTTACTATTAAAATCGAGTTTTCTATAGGAGCGCTACTCTAATCCAATGTATTACAACTTGATTTCCAATAGGTCAAGCTTACGACTTGAAAACCGTATCCGATGAAATGTTATTGAAACGTATTCAACGTACTGGCGATGGTTCTCATCCATCTTGCATTGACTTAAATAACAACAACACCAGCGGGACTGTTATCACCCCTGAAATGCTCTCGAAACTCGACCATGACAATGAAGAAACCATGGTGTGGGGTTGGGACGACAAAGATGTTCATATAGAAGATCGTTTGGGTACCAAAATCATCGAAAAGAAAGAAGATTAAATCCTCTATTCTCTCAAAGAGAGACACCATTAATTACAAATGTGTGAGTAGTGCCCACACATTGAGAACAAGAGAATACGAGAGCGAATGAATTAAACAATTTTATATTATAAGAATATGGTTTCTGTTTCTCTATCGCTAATGATCAGAAGTACAGTATTTAATTTAATTTCCTTTTAAATTGATGTCTGCTACTTTCCATATATACTGGTTATATATTGATCTTAGTTCAAAAATCCCACTTTTAATTCTCCCACTTTACAATTCCTCCTGTAATATTTTCAAGTATAAATCCTTCGTTCTTGTTAAAATGTAAAATACAAACAAACATGTAGTATAAAGTATCTGCGCAGAGGTTCTAGTTTTACCAATTGATAAGTTTATTAAGTTTATTATTATTTTATTAAGTTTTAGCTTAAATTACAACTTTAATTTTAATAATAGTAATGTTGTAGTAAACGAGATACAATTACTTGATCAATTATAGTCATGTAGCTGTATGTGTATGTATTTGTGAAAGATCAATCGATTTATATTGTAAAACTTAAATATGCAAACTTAAGTTTAACACCTTGAGTAGGCTGTCATTGATCGATTAATTTGATGTCCATCATTTATAATTATTTTTAATTATTAATATTTCGTTTACTGGGTTATACCATGTAGTTTTGTAATTTAGTTTTTTTTTTTTGTATAGAATTGAGCGAAAGGTTTCCCCCAAAATATTAATTAGTTTAAGTAAATAGTTTAAGGTGCATTTATTACATTTGTACATTTCGATATACATAATAACCAAAAATTTAAATTTACAAACCTACATTTAACAACATACAATTTAGAATAATAATACTCTAAAACAACGAGTAAAATACAAAATTAAAATAAATAAAAAAAATGGAAAAAAATTATAAAATTTTAATTCAAATTGTTTTATTTTAATTTCAGCAACAAAAAATTATTATCACAATTTCTTACAACAAGTATGCAGAATATGAAGCCAAACATAACCTGCAGTTTAAAAAGTAACAATTGATAATTACAATTTAAATAAATCTATAGTTATTACTCATTTGTTGAAAAGGAATTTGAAAAAATTATATCTTTCAATCAATAATATGTCAATAAATTAGATTAATATTAATTTATGTTCTTATCGTTAGATTTCTCCATACATACGTATGTACATATGTATGTAGTATGTGTATACATGTGGAATAACAAAACAATTAAAATTTAAGAAAAATAAGTTTATCGAAATTAATGTATTCTGGGAAAAGACATCTTTTCGTTTCAGAAAAGAATTAGTGCTGGAATTCTTTACTTTAGAAATGACACTAGGTACACAACACAGATAATGTATTTTGCATAAAAATTGCAGATTCTTATGTATTTGGACCGAAAAAAATCGTTACGAAAATTTCGGGTTAACTCTAATTTTATCAACATTTTGCAGATTTTTTACATTAAAAATGGTTAATTGCCGATTTGCCAATTTTTTTGCAACAAAAATGGTTATTTTTAATTAAATTTTCATTTTCATACAAAATTCGTTTTCAAAATTTACTTTTGAAAATAAAATTACCGTTCGAGATACGGAATACGAGGCTAAATATTGAATATAATAAACTTTTAATTATAATTAATCGGCATTATATGTATATACAATATTTTTGTTGTTTTGTTATTTACTTTTCAATGACTACTACTTACCGTCTGCATTAATTAGAAGTACTCTAGTAATGACTTTCTTCTAATCTGATATAGATATAGAAGTACTTTATTTTCGGCTTTGTTATTTTGTTTGCACATTTTATTTAATTGCGTGTTAAGAATTGTGTTTTACAAAAAAGAAAACAAAATAAGTTTTGTATGTGAAAACCATTATTTTAGTTTTAGTAAAATCGAATAATGTTAACCCATAATCAGTGAAGTTCAAAGTCAGAATATGCAACATTGGGAAACTTTATTGAAACCGTACTGAAATATTATTTGTTTTTAACAAATTTAAATAAAACTTGAGAAAAATATATAAATAAAATAAATAAAAAATTAAATTAAACCTTAATATAATATGAACTAAATATTCAATACCATATTATGAGAAAACTATAGGTTATAAAGGGAACCCGATATCAGATTCGGTTTAAGCACCTAAAAATACTTGGTATCGAGTCAGATTGGTTTTAAAAGTTTTTTCTAAAGCTTCATTTAATTGGCCTGTGTAATTAGTTTATGACATCTATTCTGAATAAAAATGCCTTGGGTAAAAATTATATTCTGATTTCTGAATTGATTTTTTTTGCAATCAATAGTACCTATCAGAAAAATAGTATCACTTCACAGGTATTTCTATTTTAGTTTATTTTACGTCAATGTGTTATAAGTCTTTTCTGAGAAGTTTACTACAAGGCTGTCATAATCCAAAAAAAAAAAAATCGATCTCACATCGAAAATAGTAGACATATTTCAAATCTTATAAATCTATATGAAAGACTTTTTGTATAACACATGTTTTGTAACCATCAGTCCAAAAAACCCGAATTTCGGATTATGCCAGTCTTGTGTTAAATGAGTGATATGTATGTATATAAGTACATATATACGGTTGTAAAATTATATATTTTGTCATTATTAACATATGGTTGAAAAATTCAAGTTACATATCAACCTTTCACCATCGATATATAAAAATCGAATTGAGCATAAAGTAAATTGTTGATAAAATGAGATATACATAGATAAATAATATTTGTTAAAGGCAATTCATTAGTTTCCTTCGTGTATTATAAGACTTTTAATTAACTAAAAAGTGTAAAATGTTCATCATTGTTTCTAATGCGGAAGCGAATAAACTTCTGATTTATTATGATGTCATCTGAAAGCCTGATTCCAAAAACATATGTACATATATTTATTTTTATATGTATAATACGTTATATCTAGAATAGAACTAAACTGAATATAAACCAAACGATTAAAACACAACTTTTACTCTTATCACGCTTATGTTAAGAAAGGTTAAGACAAACCATTTTATTTCCAATTCATACATACGTAAATAAATAAAAAAAGAATAAACCTTATATATATATACATATGTATATGTATATAAAAGAGTAGCATTACTGACTGACTGATTGAACATCGCACAGCCCAAACGGCTGAACCTAGAATCATGAAATTTTGACAGTAGATGTGTTTTTGGTTATGTAGATCCGCTAAGGAGGGATTTTTGGAAATTTGTACATTTAGGGAAAAAGCGGGTAAAAGAGGATTTCTTAATTATCTTACACAATATTAGTAATACAAGAAAACTTTTATATGCACCTGTATCTACTCTTAAAATGAGCAGATGGGTGTCTGGTACTTTTTTGGAATTCGTACTATTAATGGGTGAAAATGTGTTACAAAGGTGATTTCATTACCTTGTAAATATATTGGATATATCTTCCAAAATTACGAGACATCTGTTTCGTACTTTTTTCAAATTCAGTCCTTTTTGGGTGTAAAAGGGAGAAAACTGTATTTTTGGTACTTTTTTCTTTAGCACATTAAGTAAACTTTTTCGACTTATTGACGTATACCTATTAAATTACGTACTATCTTTGTAATATATATTGAAACAAAATATTTGCTATTTCACTGGGGAAAAAGTACTAAAAAGGCGAAAAGCGGGAATCTTAATAACTAATTGAGCCAATTTTAATAAAATTTGAAAAAATACTTTTACTTTTCCATTCTTCAAATGGTACTTTTTGGATTCTCTATAATGGGGAACCGGAACACATGACATGTGGAAGCTAAACGAATGAAAATAAAAATACACGCTCCTTACTGAATGCGAATTTATTTACGTGATAAATTTCGACAATATTGAATATAAAAAACAGAAACATTAAAGAACGTTTAATCAATTAAAATTTTCTGTAAAAATTATAAAAATTTTGTACATATGTATTTATTTTTGGTTAGTATTAATATAAATTGGAATGGCATGCGATAAAAAGTAATTTAGAACCAGTTTTACCAATCAAGCACGTGAAATCTGAAACATGTTAATGATAACGAAACCTCGGGCAAAATATGTAGCTCTTTGTCTGTTACTCAGGTCCATTATGGATCAAAGTATATATGTAAGTAAATGGTAGATGGAATAAGTACAAGAGAATAGTTATTTAGTAGTTAGTTAGTTAGTTAGTTAGTTAGTTAGTTAGTTAGTTAGTTAGTTTAGTTAGTTAGTTAGTTAGTTAGTTAGTTAGTTATTTAGTTTAGTTAGTTAGTTAGTTAGTTAGTTTAGTTAGTTAGTTAGTTAGTTATTAGTTAGTTATTAGTATTAGTTAGTTAGTTAGTTAGTTAGTTAGTTAGTTAGTTTAGTTAGTTAGTTAGTTTTAGTAGTTATTAGTTAGTTAGTTAGTTAGTTAGTGAGTTAGTTAGTTAGTTAGTTAGTTAGTTAGTTAGTTAGTTAGTTAGTTAGTGTAGTAGTTATTAGTTAGTTAGTTTTCGTTAGTTAGTTTTAGTTCGTGTTAGTTAGTTAGTTCGTTAGTTCGTTAGTTCGTTCGTTCGTTAGTTAGTTCGTTAGTTAGTAGTTCGTTCGTTCGTTCGTTCTTCGTTCGTTCGTTCGTTCGTTCGTTCGTTCGTTCGTTCGTTCGTTCGTTCGTTCGTTCGTTCGTTCGTTCGTTTTTCGTTCGTTCGTTCGTTCGTTCGTTTCGTTCGTTCGTCGTTCGTTTCGTTCGTTCGTTCGTTCGTTCGTTTTCGTTCGTTCGTTCGTTCGTTCGTTTCGTTCGTTCGTTCGTTCGTTCGTTCGTTCGTTCGTTCGTTCGTTCGTTCGTTCGTTTGTTCGTTCGTTCGTTCGTTCGTTCGTTCGTTCGTTCGTTCGTTCTTCGTTCGTTCGTTCGTTCGTTCGTTCGTTCGTTCGTTCGTTCGTTCTTTCGTTCGTTCTCGTTCGTTCGTTCGTTCGTTCGTTCGTTCGTTCGTTCGTTCGTTCGTTCGTTCGTTAGTTAGTTAGTTAGTTAGTTAGTTAGTAGTTAGTTAGTTAGTTAGTTAGTTAGTTAGTTAGTTAGTTAGTTAGTTAGTTAGTTAGTTAGTTAGTTAGTTAGTAGTAGTTAGTTAGTTAGTTAGTTAGTTAGTTAGTTAGTTAGTTAGTTAGTTAGTTAGTTAGTTAGTTAGTTAGTTAGTTAGTTAGTTAGAAGGAGGATGTAAATATATACATACATCACATCTGAAGAAATACACCTCTATCGGGCCTGTTGTGCGCTCCTTAACCAGTACCTCAGAGGTTGGAATCGAACCCCCGCCTCCGGTCTACCAGACTAGAACACTAACCTTCAGGAGGCCACAAGATACTAAGTATTTAAGTAAGTCCGTTTTAATTGTAATTCAAATTTAACGATTGTATATCAAGTTATTTTTTATTTGAAAAAATGTTAATTATTGACTGGTTTTACATTTAGAAACCATTCGACAACGTTTTTATAAAATCAAACTATTTGGGATTATTTTCTTTATAACATACGCGAATTTTATTTAAATATCAAATAAATTAAAAATTAAAAAAACTAGTAAGAGTAGCATAAACATACAGTATAAATACACAGAAGCATATTTATTTAGTTGGGTCGAATTTAATTCACCCTCTTAGTTAGTAAAAAAAAAAATTCCATTTAGTATTTTAAAAATCAAATTTGATTTTCATCATTGCATCTCAATCAAGGAAATACTTTAAATTTCAATTTATTGGATCCTTGCTTATTAAAATAAAATGACAAAACTTAAAAAGGGTATGAGTGGACATAACATTAACATTTTAATGTTGCAAATAGATCGATGCACTTTGGTGGTCACATAAAAATAAATAGCTCTACATATAACCGAAAGTCATATGAAACTAAACTATTACCACATTCTTTAGCTCAAATTAAATTTCTTAATTTATTAATAGAACAAGATTTTTTCTAACTTCAATTTAAATAATGTATTTAACATGCTTTTTTTTCTGTTCTATTTTATTCATTCTTTTATTCCTAGAAGATGAAAAACTGGAAAAATTACAATTTAAACAATTTGAAAATAAAATAAAGAGATCATTCGATTTTGTCTAATGAAAACCAGGGTGACCGTAAGTATAATTAATGGGTTGTTCTTCTTGAGCATTCACATGAGTGCGTGCGGCATAGATCAAGGCTGCCATGAATGCAGTATTATTCATAATCATGGTGGTAAGTGTGGCCATTTTAAGAACTGGTAAAATAAAAGGTAAAAATGTACCCATTAGAATAGCTGGCATTATCTGGAATTGCATGAAAACTGTGATAAAGAAAATTTCATATTATTCTGGCCATGAATAGTTTTACCATAACCGGTACAGCCATTTGCAACACTGTTGTTTTGTAAGAATGTTTATTCTTTTTAATCTTTTTTCTTATCTTCGAGTCTTTGTGCTTTGACTTGATATCAACATCATCCTCATCTAGACTAGTGTTGTCATGTCCCTCTAAACTGCTGTCAGCGAAGCCAGTATCCTTTAATATGCCCTTAATGCCATCTTTCTGTGAACGTCCCTGGTGTGCCAAATGATGTTTTGCTTCTGGAAATTATATAAAAACTTAAGCATTTGCTGCTTAATGTTCCTTTACTTACTTTTTTTGAGGGAAAATTTCACTTTATTTTCTTTGCTGGGTATGATTTTCACCATTAGTCCGGGTAGGAAGTGTAGTTTGATGTCACGATTTTTAAAAAATCTCTGAAAGTGTAACACTAAACGTTTGTTAAGATCTTTGTCCGACATTTTTCTAAAACGATCGCTGATCAGACTGCCCATTTGTTCGTCTTCGCCAAAGAATTGATTGAGGAAATCTTTAGTGATATTTCCGGTATTAGGTCTCAATTTGCGTTCTTCCATTTTTTGTAAAACATAAAGTTTTGTACAGCGCAAAGTACTAAATTCCCGTAAACATTCGTAAATACGCATTGGTATTGACGCCCTAAAGTATGGAACAGAAATTGGTGGTGCTTCCGTAGATGGCGTCAATTCATTTGGATATTCAGCGCTACCGCGTGGCTGTTGTCGATCGTTATTACCATTTGGTTGTTGTCCAGACTGTTGCTGCTGCTTTTTTTGTTGTTGTTGTTGGTATGAGGGCGTTATAAGTACCAGAATGATGACAAGCAAATTTACTATGTGGTTGGTAAACTTAAGTCGTTTCATTTTATTTTCTTATGAATAATTGTTATTTCTTGTTTGATATTTGTGATTTGTTTAAAACGTATTTGTCCTTGATAATTTTGGAAGCGTTTAATCTGACTACACCTGGTATGATGGACGTTCTGTTTGCTACTAAACATTAACTGGCCAAATTGCAACATATTTTCTACTCATTGGAGTGAGGAATAGGAAAAAGAAAGTTACTTTTGTAGCATGTAGCAGGTTGTTATAAGTGGCATTCTTATGCTGAATAGTTTTCTAATGTTGCCTCTTCATTGTTCAGCAGCTAGAATATCAATTCACAATGTTTAAGTTGTAACCATATATAGCAGTGTGTAGTGTGGTTAGTAGATGTTTGCTGCATCAACTGGTTGCAACTGGTTTTCCTTGATCTTGTACCTCTAACCAATCTTTGAATGCAGCCAATCCAATAATGGGAAGCAGACAAATGTTTGTGTGAGCACACAACCGTTGCTAATAATTTTCATGTGTGTGTGTGTGTGTGTGTGTGTGTGGAATAGTGACCTGATTGTAGCTGGCAAAAGTCGTCCACGAGTCTGATGGGAGAGTGTTTTGTATTTTTATGCTGTGTTTTGTGTTTCATATTCAATCGAGTAGTTGCCGTTTCAAGTTCATCAGTTGTATCTTCATAGGAGTTTGCTCTATTTATATTTTTGCCATTTTCTATTGTGCAGTTTGTTTTTTATTGACCTTGTTTTTATTACACATTTCAGTTTTTCTAACCAACAACAAAATTACACGTCTTATTTGCGCAGTTATTTATCAGTAATTATTAAAATAAACAGTGATTTATTTATTGCGAAATTCATAAAGTTATTTTAATAAACATAAATACATAAATGCGTATTTGCGAGCTAATTTTGGTCATTGAAGCCAATTCAAATTCATTTAGTTAAAGCGAAATAAAAACTCCTTAAATATTCGATATTTCATAAATTTGTATCATAAATCCAGCTTTTTGTTATAACAAATACAATATTAATATTAAGTTCATGTTAATAAAATATCAATAAGAGTACTAATCCATAGTAAAAATATATTTTCGTATTATATTTGCATTCATTCAAGTGCTAAGAACAAAAAACTATGATAAAATTTGAACAATTTGAAAAAAAAATCGATTTTTGTATTTTTTGAACTTTATGTCAAATGTTCTGAAATCCTGAAGCTAGTATTACAAAACGAAAAGCTGTTTTAGTAACCTAATTTACTTAAAGAAATGTATACATAGTATGCCAAATAAACAAAAAATATGTCAGGGCCCATAGATTTATACCGAGCATACCAGACCAGTCAGAATGAAAGTTCTAGTTTCACCGTTTGATTCTTAATACCGATGTAGAAAAGGGTCTTTATTGTAATTGCATACTAAATACAATATAAATTGTAAAAGTTTCGAACTCTAAATTGGTTTTTGTCTGCGGTATTTGAATTCCTGATTTAGACCATTATTTTATTAACAAGTACATAATTTAGTTTGTTTTGAAATACTCCATTTACACGTTACTTTGTTGACAAATTTCAAGATATTACTACTTCTACTCTTCTCGACATGACTAATTTTTTATGTATTTATTTAATTATACGATTAAAAGTTTCACCTTCATTGCAGAACCACATTTAAAACTATTGAAACTGACAATAAATGAGTTTGTTTTCATCTCCTATTTTCTTGTGGCGTTGGCAGACAGACAGGCAGTAGCAGGTTTTAATAATTAAATTTTTGTAATCAGCGACGACACTATTGGAAATCGATTTTGGCATTTATTCGTATTCTGGTTGTGAAAAAAGAACTGTTGAGAGAGACAATGTTCAGGAAAATGTAGCACATGAATTATTTACAAGAAAAACATTTCAAAACTGAAAACTAAAAAGGAAAATTGTCGCTCTCATAAATAATTCTTATTTAATTGATTGAAAATACACAGTTACGACCGTTATTTATAACAAATTTCAAAATTACTGAACTGAAAGAAAACTCGAATTTATTTGGGTTAAAATAGAAGTAGTGTGTCATGTTTCTGACTCAAAAGTATTGAAAAAACTGCTCATTTATGGTTAAAGCAGTCGACGACAAAAGAACTCGAAAACATTGAAGCGCACCTCATGTCCACACACTTCATTTGTTTAGAAGTGATGTTCTGAATTTTAAACAGGCTGAAACAAGCAGTTCAATAAAAAGTGAAATTTATCAGTACATACATATTTTTCAAATTAAATATCGAATTTTATTATAACTTTTGTTTTTTTGGTTTTTTACAGTATTTCGTGACGCTTCAGTTTTGTTTAAAATAAATAAATAAATAAATTACAAATAAATAAATTAATAAATAAATAAATACTTGAGGAAAATTAAATAACTAGATGACTAACTTAACTTAGTTTTTGGTAGACTGATTCAAGTACATTATTTTTTCTTATACACAAAGGAAAAATCGACTGATCCCCATTGGACCAGATGAAATTTCAATTTATACACCGAGTATTAATCGAGGGAGGTATGAGAAAGAATCGTATGGGAGGACATTTATCTTTACCATTCTTTTTCTAACCAGACGGGTTGTTGGGTGTGGCTGTGGGAGTAGACTACGGGTACGGGAGCTGGGGCAGCAGTGTAGGCAGCAGCATGTACTTGGGGCAAAGCACGAGACAACATTTGACCGATAGCCAAAACCAAGAGGATGACACCAACGCCCAAACCCTTCATGGAGACAACGGTCAAGGCAGCCAACAAGGTGGTAATGACACCAACAACGAATGCTCCAGGAACTACGGCAAAGCTCATACGTTTCAAGAAGTGGTGGCCAAATGTGCGGGATTCTATAAAAATCGCAACGAATTAATATTTTACTTTCGCAGGATTGTTTAGAATAACTTACCGCTAACATCAGCGTTGTCACTGTCGGTGGTTTGTTGACAGAGGACAGCGTTGGCCATGAAGCACATGACAACAACAGCGCAGATAATTTTTTGTTGAGCAGCCATTTTAATGAATGATTTAATCCTTTGTGTGGGAAAGAGGAGCAGGAACAATATTAATAATCCACAAAACTGAAGACGGCAAAGATTGCAATGAAACTTTGTTGGTGATCGCTAAACGATGACAATGAAATGAATGAAGTTTTGACAGCGCTGTTGGTTTTTATTGTTTACTTCCCAAAGCACCGCACACCCGCGCCACAATAGAATGTAAATGTTCAATAAAATAGCACGACAATTGTCGTCGAATTCATTCATCCAAACATTCGAGCAATTACAAATTTCTTTATTTCTACATTTCTTTACTATTTACGCAGAAAGAAACCACCAGCAAAGCAAGCAACCAAAATTGTCCAAAATTTTGATCATTTTTATTATTATTATTTGTGTCTTTAGCTTCTGAGTTATGATTGTCTCATTTGCATGCGACATGATATTAATCCAAATACATAATTGAAACTGTTCACAGTTAATGGGGTTCTTTTTATGGTAAATGAAATTTTTTCTTTAACACCATAAAGGGTGGTCATGTACATACATACATACATAAGTACGTACGGTTGTAAATATGCATGTTGGTATTTTACATGCATAAAGAAAATATTTCTTTTCGTTTTAGATTTTTTTTTCTGTATTTGACAGGGCCAAGTTCAGGGAGTGAGTGCAATTGCGCACGCGTCATTGGTTTGGATTTTAGACATATTCTTTAAAAGTTTTACAACGAAAAATAATAAAAACTGGTAAATATATAAATTATATTATTTATCGTCACAATTACCCGAACTTAATGGGATCGGAGGTTAAAAATCAATAACAATTAACATTCTCTTTATTAATTTAAACAGAAATGTTTTAATTAAAGATTTCCAAAAATATACTAAGACCTATACTTCCGATACCGTGTCTATGAAATAATTCAGAAATAATGTACAATGTTAGATTGTTTCTTTGTGTGCCAGTTTAATATTTTCAAGTATGTTCTGAAACTTGACATTTATGAATACACCTGATACAATACATCATAAAATTCGAAATTATATTCGAATGTTTATAATTGTTAAAATAATTTCTAACAGCTTAAACTTAAAGGTTTTGAATAGTTTTATAATATAATAAGCAATTTAAGGTATTAATAAAGCCATCAAACAAATAAATAGGATACATTAATAGATTTCATTGCTGGTAAAAATCCAGCAGCATATACTGCAACAATTTTAATATTTATTTAAAGAAAGGAGAATTGCAAAAGTTTCACTATTAGGTAAAGTATGTTTATGGATATCATCATTAGGGTGGCCCATTTGTATGGTGTCGATATTTCCAACTAAAATTAAAATTTTGTTTAAATGAGGATTCATAATAATATTTTATCAAAAGTTTCTAGACAAAAATTTGTATGAGAGTTTTTTTTACGAATACGAAGCAAAGGAAAAGTGAACTTTTTAAATATTTAGTTTGATTGCAAAATTTGTTTTATAATTCAATTATTATAAACGAATTTAAAGCTTATAAATTACGCGAATTTTGATATCCGTGTTGAACACACAAAATACGAATCAATTTTATTTCGATGAAATTATATGAGCTTTCTAATGTATTTATTACTATTATTTACATTATGTAAAATTTTGAAAAAAAAAATAGAAAATTATGACACTGAAAATTTTTTTTAAGTGATATTTTGCAGCCTCCAGAAAGTATCCTTTTTCAGCCTGATCTTCATCATCAATTGGCGCAAGGTAACCTAAACATACTTTTTGATAGAATTTAACTTTAATTTTAGTTGGGAACATTAGCTAATTTTGCTTTGATGCCACCCTAATGTATAAATATTTAATTCCATAATTCTAAATATGTTTTTAAGAAAATGGAAATTTGTCTGTCCATTGTAGTGTTTGCCTTTTTCTTTCTCGGCCACATTAAAAAACGTAAATTGTAAATAATGTTCGTTTCGTACGTGGTTAAATTTGAACGTTTAAAATTTTGTCAAAAGCGTAAAGGGCGTCTTAACACAATTTACTATTACTTCCACTATCACTGACGTCATGACGTCATTTTTGTTGGACTCCTGCGATCGATAATCCACTGGTATAAAATCGAATTTGGAAATAGCGGTCGTTACTCACTTTCGTTTAATATTCATGACTTTTTAATAATTATTTTTATTTTTTTTTGCTATTGATGGCAATCATAATTTCATTAATTTATGTATTTGGACATTCAAAAAAATAAAATAAACGAAATGAAAATGAAAAGAAAAGGGTCATTTGTAAATTATAATAAAATTAAATAAATAAATAAATAAATACTTTCACTTTTACTTTAGAACTCGCTGCTGATAGCTGCTTAATTCGAATTTGTCTTTTTTCATAAAATTTGTTGTAATAAAATTTATTTGCTTATTTGCATTTGTCAAGTTTAGTTGTCTACCATCTAAATACATTGAATATGAAAATATTCAATTAAAAACAGAGTTAATAAAAGTTTAGAAAAAACATTAAACACAAATATTTTAGAGATGTCCTGTATATCAATCTTTTAATATTGTAATACACTAGAAGTTATAGGATAATATTTAGGAAAGAACATTTTTGGAACCAAATATTATTCCTATTTAATAAAATTGGCAAAAGCGAATTTTGACAGAAAATGATTTTTTTTCATTAAATATTAATATTTTTACGGTAAACGAAAAAAAAAAATGAAAACCATCCATTCACACATTCATAATATGAAAGTTACAAGATTCAATTAATTAAACACTGTTTCTAAAACTTTATTTCAAAAGCATAAAAACTTGAATAATTGACTGAAAACAACGTAAATTATTGAACAATAAAATGACAACAGCAAGTTTATTAAAGATTAACTAGATTTAGACATAAAAAAGTTTAAATTGTAAACAAAGATGAACTAAAAAAACAACCAAACACTCGTTTATAAAATTGGAACAAAAGTGTTGCTGCCAATATACTAAATACATTTCTAAGTCCGTTTTTGACTCCTGTTGTGAGTCGAAAACATACATTTATAAAAAATACTCGCTTTAACGCTTACAGTTTGTTTCATAGCTAAAGAATCGTATCAACTAAGTGATTAATCATACAAATCTGATATTCGATCTATATTATATTGTATGTTTTTGACGATTTTGCTCTTAGTGAATATTTGCTTAAAATAGCAACTATTCAATATGGGGTTTTCATTAAATATTTTATAATCGTAAAACAAACTTTTAAGTCGAATGTTTAGGCTAATAAGTGTTTGTGCTGATGTTTGAAACGCCCAAAAATATTGGTTCCATACCCAATTTAAAGTATATGTTCGTCTATGTCCGTCTGCCCGTACATCAGTGTATCCATGTAAACATTTTTAAAGATACTTATACTCGTCTATTCGTCTAGGGACGTAGCCTATTGAAATGGTTGAAATCGGTCCTTTATTTCACCTAACCCTCATTCAATCGTACCACCCGATAGGGCTTTTGAGCTCATAATTATGTTAAATGTTTTAGTATCTCTACAAATAGTTTTATATATTAGTTTTATATATGTAAGCCTAAATAATACAGCCGATTTTAGTATTGATCGGCATGGCATTAGCTCCATTTTTACCTTTGTAACACATTTTTCAGAAAATAGCTTTTTTGTAAATAAATTGTTAAAATGTTTCGGAATTAAGTTAAAAAACAACTTAAATGCTTTATACTCACTGGTATAGGATATAATATGGTCGGAATTAAGTTAAAAAACAACTTAAATGTTTTATACTCTCTGGAATAGGGTATAATATGTTCGGCCATGTTCGAAAATAAATTCCTACATGTTTTTCTTTAAAATTTTAGCTTTAGGAAAAAATACTGGTCATATAGTTATGAAGCCGACTGTATAAATAGTTCAAACTTTGTTGATCTTTCTAAAAAAAGAGTGCACACGAAAAACGAATAACTTATTCTAAAATTATAATTACTTATAAAACAATTAAGGAAAAAGTAGTATTTTGGCATCAAAAATTCAAAAATAATAATTGTCAGTAAATTCTGTTAATTCTAAAATAGAAATTTTTACTTATTTGGTACTTGTTTCCTATTTTCCTAATTTTTAGATTTTCTGGATATGTGTATTGTAAATGTATTTTTACATTTCTTACCCCCATAAATAAGAAATTTTTAATCCACAGCAATAACTCTAGGCCTTAAATGTTAAAATTTTCAATTACAAATTTAACAAAAAAATTTGTTATTTATTAATGGTAGTTGGCAAAAACATTGTACAAATTTAAGATCTTCAAATAATTCCAACAATCATTAAAAAAATTTATTGTTAATCGGGTTTAGACGGCGGGTAAAATAACGCAATGAGAAAGAAATTCCGCTAAAAATTTAAGCACAAAAATAAACTCTTAAAAAGCGGTCTAAAAAAATTAACTAAATATAAACATTTACGTTAACTAGATTTAATTTGTTTTCAATTTAAGCAATTCCGCTAAAAATGCAGCGGGTTAAATGCTAGTTCTATATAAACAGTTTTCTTACAACTTCCAATTTCCAATTTCTATATTTTTCTATTCGCACACACTCTTTAAGCATCTGCACACAGTCGCAGTCTCAGTCTCTTTAACCGAGTGGCAAGAACTCGTATTAGATTTGTGCAGAATAAGCGGTTGTATAGAAATTTAAGAATTCAATAGGCTTCTTCTGCAATAACTGTTCCAGCATGTGGATGCCACAAAATAAAACGAAAGAAAATAATAAAAATAAAACCAGATAAATGCAATTGGGTAAGTGTGTGACAAGAGCTTCTAACCAACCGACCAACCAGCCAGCCAGTCAGCCAACCACCAGTCAAGCGCTTAATCTCACACTGATGCTGAAGACCAAGTTAATAAAATCCATTGTAAACATGAATGCGAACGCATTTCCACAACGTACATTCGAGTGGTTGCACTTACTCGTACAAAAGATCATTTTGATTGTGTTGCAGACGATCGAGTCATCAGCATTAGAAGAAAACAAAAACCAAAAAGTGTCTAAGGAAATCTAAGAATGTTTACAAGATGAATAAATTCGTGAAAAGTTTCTTATTTTTTTGTGTTTTTATAATCTCAACAAATCCAAGTATCAGTCAAGAGGATGTAGTTCAAACACATCTATCCAGACATGAACTGGAGCAGGGTGGTGTACATGATACAAGTGCGACGAAAAGATTATTGGAAACTGCTGATCAGGTTGAGGGTCGCAGTATAGCGGATGCTGGGGAAAATAATGATAATTTGGAGAAACATTCAAAGCCATTGAGAAGTATTTTCTTGGGTATTTATAAAAACTACAAAAGCACATATTTGGGCAATAAAACCCTAACGGAATACAAACAGAACTTGAGGGAGAAAATGAAAAATAAACAACAGCAGCAGGACTCCGATGTCGATATTAAAGATGAGAAGGCTGATAGTGATGATGATGGTGTTGTCACCGAATATCCTGTTGACGAGGAAGAAGAACGTATAGAAACCACAACGGAATTTGAGCCACCATTAGCAGCAAAACAGGAAACCAAACACAAACTTTCACCAAATAGAAAAGTAAAATTGAATGTCACACATATTGAGATCAACGAGCACCAATACAATGTGGGGCCAGCTCTCAACTTAAGCTTAGATATGGATAATAATATAGTCAAAGTGAACTTGGATGGTGAAAGTATAAAAGAACTTGTAACAGGTCGTTGGTTAAATGACAACACCGAAGAAGGTAAATAAATATTACATTCACTCGATTTATATTTCATAAATTAATTAATTTGTAAATGAAATCAATTTTATTTTAAGGTCGTGGCAAGAAGTATGACATGGTAACTCGCATCCTACCACTTTTCATTTTGCCATTTCTGATACAATCTGCAATCGTTCCGTTTTTGGTAACGAAACTGAAATTATTGTTAATGAAATCGATATTGGTGGGAAAGTTGGCAATATTTCTGCTGATTATATCAGCTTTCCGCAACAGCAACAAACAAATGCAGACGTATGAAGTGGCACCTTCGTATTGGGCTGGTGAACCAAGTCGAAGGTCCGAATTGGTAGCAGCGGCAACTAACATGGCTTACAACGGTTATCGGGTGGAGGGAAAACCGGCCGCATGGGTTAATTAATGTACACATTAAATAATGAAATAGTAAAAAATAAATAAAAATAAAATACAATTTGTTTTATTTAAAATGCAACAAAGTAGGAAAGAAGATTACAATGCTAAGTTTGAAAATATGTTATTATACATAAGTACATACATTACATTTGTCCAGTATTGATATTATATCAATTACTTATATGAATAACTTCAAAACGTCCCATTTACCATTATAAAAATGTATAAAAAATGCGTGTCATTCAAACAAATATTAATAGTATACATATCTTCGAAACTATTTCTGCTCCATAATCAGTTCTAGTTTTTAGCACTTGAAAAAACTCACAGCATTTTATGATTTGATAAATTAAATTTATCATAATTTCAATTGATATCTGCACTAAATATATTTACGAAACCAAACATATCAGTAAATGTTCGATAAGAAATCGATTAAAAGCGTTAGAATCAATTAAAAACTACAATTTCTTTTAATTTTTATATGATTTTATTTAATTTAATTAAAATTACTTAGTATTCCTATAAATATTATTTTTTAATTCCTATTATTAATTAGATTTTCGGCAATTGCAGGAAGTAAGCTTTTCGTCCAGCGATGTTAAAGACAGGTTTATTACATTAATAGCAGTAATATTGTCTTTGAACTGTTACACACATTTCGCATTGAACTTGAAAGCCCCATGTAAATTTACAGTTACAGCGACTTTCGGTGACGATATTTTTGGGATGCACCGTATAACCACATTCACGGCAAAGATAGCGGCAACGTGTACGTTCTTCTTCCGATAGATTTTCACCATTTGAGCCGGTAGAGCATTGACGACCGCGCATGCCATTCCAGTGTGGCACAGCATCGGGTTCGCAGTAGTTTGGCGAATCTTTCATATAAACTAAAGCGTCCAAAGGAATATTGTCCCACATAATACGTGAGTTTTCGGGAGTATTGTTAAGTTGGAGTCCTTCTTCGTACATCTGACGTATATCGGCCGCGATATCTTCAAATGGTTTAAGTACATGGAGGCAAACTTCTTTTGCACATAAACCATTGGAACCCAAAACTGCACAACCGCATTGTTTGACCAGTGATTTCTCCAGCAAGTTGGTGACGGCCTTGAAGTTGTGTTTCGATATTTTATCATAAAAATCGTCCATAAATGCTATATTGGCATGTTTTTTAAGCATTTGCTCGGCTGCCTTTGGATTGTCCGAACATTGGGAGCTATAGGGACTATCGGAACAACTTCCACATCCAGCAATAATGCCACTGGAGCAATTTTTGGTGATGGAGTACAAGACGGCAGCTGTAGTTATGGCATTGACATATGAGTCTTCACGATCCAATGATAAAGATTTCGATGTTCGTCTTAGAAAGAAATCCGAGCTAGGGCAATTCCAACGTTCCCACTTAAAACTATTTTGGCAAGTTTCCATTGCAGTCTCCAAACTACTGGCCATAATACTTTCCAATGAAAAGGGTACTTGTAGTTTTGAATATACTTGAGCAGCATATTGACTTTGACTAGCAAAGTAGTTCAGCTGATCCAGCAGTTGTACATGACCTAATACAACAGTCAAGCAACCGAAGGTCACAATAATACCCACAATTGAATTGTTCATTTTCGCGTTTCAAAAATCTTATTGTCTGCTTATCTCAAAATGATACTTTCACACTGAACGATGAGTGATGAATGTTGACTGCCAATAAGTTTTCAACTCTCTTTATACTCCTCAGGTAGATTTTCAGATTTTCTTATTATCAATATTATAATTCAGGATATTCTTCCCACAAATTGGGGAAAACAAGACTCTGAAACCGGAAATTTTATTTTGCTTTTGTTGGAAATATTTGTCAAGCAAAAGTCCCAATACACACTGAGAAACCCATAGCTTATATAGCGCAGCAGCCCAGGTAGTCGTAAGAGAATTTTCCCACGCGCCAAAAATTGCCCATGAAAACCTTGAATTAATATTTCCCTAAATTTCATTCATAATGTGGATTTTCCGGATGTAAATTTGTCATTGTTGAAAATAAAAAGCGCCAGGCTTTTAATTTGTGAGAAGATTAACCCTAAAATGTTTACAGTGATTTCTTAGAGTAGGGAAATGTTGACATTAACAAAAACAAACAATAAAGAGATAACCACGATTACATGGATAAAACTATTATTTAAATAATTACGTGAAAGCAATTGAGAGGACTTCGAAAACTACCTGGCGAGTTAGAATTCTGATAGGGAAATTATGGGGTTAATTAATCGATGGGTAAGTACAAATTATTAAATTATTTCCCATGGAATTTCTAGCCTGGGGGAATTTTTAATCAAATTCAATTTTACTTGTCTATATGATATTTTTATCTTGAGTATCTGTTAATGCAATGAGAATGTTGTCTATTATAGTCCTATTGAAAATATAAAACAATAAAATATTTCATCATACACAACATAAAAATTAACAAAATGATTCTAAAATAATTTAAATAATTAAAATTTACATTTTATGCAAATTTTACTATTTAACCCTTATTGGTTGTTATACAAATTATACAGATCAGTAGTGGAATTTGTTGATAAAATGGAATTTACAAAACTAAAGTATGATTTATGTTTTTATTAAATAAAATTTGACTTTTTGTTTCAAATTGGAATATTTTGTTGGGATTTTAGTAGAATGATGGAAAGTTTTTTTGCTTGGGTTTTAACATAATGAAAATACCTAAGCTCTAATTAGGGCGGGAAAATGAAACCGGAAAAGGGTTTAGTGGTCAATCAACCACCCACAAGAATATTGCCTGGATTTAACAAACATTTTCCTATAGGGAATAACCAGGTAGTAGAAGTCAACAATAACAAAAATACGCAAAGAAATATCCACACAAAATCTTATTAAAAATTCAAAACATTTCTAGCACATATGGACAACTTATGAAGTGGGAGTTTTGAAAAATATTATTTTGGAATTTTGCACTATCGCATGGAACTCCTACAAACTTAGGAATATTCTTTTGACACTTATATCAAATGCGTGTAATTATTATTTTACGTTAGTATTCATGAAATATTTGATGTAAAAAGCGGGAAAGTCAACCGCTAATGGTTTCCCGATCTTACATATTTTTTGTGTACATATTTTTATTCTTTACAGTTTGATTAAACATACTTTTGTTGAAAGGAAACTAAAATGTATGAGTTTTTGTGGTCACACTTCTTTGTCAAATATATCTACAGTGTGAACGTACATTTTGTTGCATGAATTTGGTAGAAATTATTTGTACAATGATTAAATTCTTAGTTTTATGAGCTATTGGCGCGTTAGTATAGCAATCGAAGATTTATACGGCAGAAACCGTCAACGTTGATAAGATTTCTAATCTCAAAACGATGATAAAGTGCTTAGCCAAGTTAAATATGAACAGTCCCATTTATTTGCACATTTAGTTGTAGTTAGTACATGGTGGATGACGGTCTTTTTGTTCTGAATAACTACAACAGTAAGTAACACTATCAAAAGAAAATATTTGACTGGATGTAAAGGAATAAACGAGTTTCCTTTTTATAGTTCAGCCGCAATGATTATCACGGCGAAATTTATTCCAATACTTTTGGGGTTGGCCCTAACTGCTTTCACTGTATCTACCATAGTGTTGGCCGTACAAAAATCAAATCTACAAAATGAATTGCAAGAGACAAAAGATAGATTAGAGTTATTGGAAGAAGCTCTTAAAACGACAACAACAACTACCACGACAACATCAACATCAACAGCTTCTCCGACCACTAATCCAACTACGGAAACTTCAACAACGGAAATAAGTCCAACACCTGAACCAGAAGAGAAAGTAAGTCATAGCTGCTCTAATAATTTCCAATTGACGGTTGACTATTTGTTTTTGCCCTAAAGATCAACTATCGTTTGCCGGAAACTATGTATCCCACAGCCTACGATCTTTACTTACATCCGGATGTAGAGACTGGAAATTTCTCAGGTCAAGAACAGATTTACATCAGCTGTACTGAAAATACCGATAGAATCGTCTTACACTCCTTGTACATGACAATTAAGAGTGTATATCTTGAGGGTTCTGGTACCAGTGTAAAAACCTTTTATTTGGATCCAGTTCGTGAATTTTTGGTCATTGAACTTAATGATGTTATTGTGGCACCTCGTAAGTTTGTTTTGGGCATTATATTTGAAGGCAGTATGAAAAATAAAATTATTGGTTTGTATTCCTCATCGTATCTGAAACCTGATAATAGCATAAAGTAAGTTTTACGCATTATTTGTATATAAAATAGAAAACAAAAAATTTCAATTGAAACTTTTAGATGGATTGCTTCTTCTAAATTTGAACCCACATTTGCCAGACAGGCTTTCCCCTGTTTTGATGAACCCGCTTTAAAGGCAACATTTAATGTAACATTAGTTTATCCCAATACTGGAAATTATCATGCTTTATCCAATATGAATATCGAGGTGATTACAAGTGGCTTTTTTTGTTGAGGTCTTTTATTCAAATGAAATTTCTACTTTATATATTAGGCCATTAAAAATCAAGGAGCTTACAACGAAGCCTATTTCAGCCAAAGTGTTCCAATGAGTACATATTTGAGTTGCTTTATTGTTTCCGATTTTCTCTACAAGACAGTCCAAGTCGACACTAAAGGCATTGGTGAAGAATTTGAATTACGTGTTTTTGCCACACCCGAACAACTGAACAAAGTTGATTTTGCTTTGGCTGCGGGAAAAACGATTATTGAATATTATATTCAATATTTTAAGATTCCCTATCCTTTGCCTAAATTGGGTATGTACATAAGTATTCTAACTAAAACCGTATCTAATCTCGTTTTTTTATTTTTATAGATATGGCTGCCATACCTGACTTTGTTTCGGGTGCTATGGAACACTGGGGTTTGGTAACTTATCGTGAAACCGCTTTACTATATGATAAAGCTATCAGCTCTTCTGCCAACAGCCAAAGAGTTGCTGGTGTAATTGCCCATGAATTTGCTCATATGTGGTTCGGAAACTTGGTAACTTTTATGTGGTGGAACGATCTGTGGCTAAGTGAAGGTTTTGCCAGCTATATTGAAAACAAAGGTATTGAAGCCGCTTTCCCCGACTGGAATATGCAGGATCAGTTTATTGTTAACACGCTACATGGTGTCTTGAATCTTGACGCAACTCTTGGTGCTCATCCAATTGTTCAAACTGTTGCAAATCCAGATCAGATTACAGAAATCTTTGACACAATCACCTATTCAAAGGGCTCCTCGATTATTCGCATGTTAGAAGACTTTTTGGGTCCTGATAATTTCCAAAAGGCCGTTACAAACTATTTGGAAGAATTCAAATATAAAAACGCTGTCACCGACGATTTCCTCACAGTAATCGATAAATTGAATTTGGGCTTCGATGTCAAGGCCATTATGCGCACCTGGACCGAACAAATGGGTTTGCCGGTGGTGGAAGTAAAAAAGATATCTGATACTCAATATAAACTGACACAAAAGCGCTTCTTCTCCAACCCTGTTGACTACGAAGGCATTTATAATGATTCTCCATTTAAGTAAGTATCTTTGCTGACAAGAAATATGTCGCACAATTTCAAAGGTTTATTTTAATTAAATGTTTCTTTTATTAGCTACACCTGGTCCATACCAATCACTTACAAAACTAGTGCCAGTGCAGAAGTACTACGTGCATGGTTTTATTTTGACGATACCGAAAGTAAGTCTGGTCACATACACCCATTAATGCACATTAGTGTTTTTATGAGTTAATAATATCATTGCTTTTTGTATCTTTCAGTTACAATCACTCTGCCCAGTGCTGCGGAATGGATTAAATTCAATTATAATCAAGTTGGTTATTATCGTGTCAATTATCCTACCGATATGTGGGAAAATTTAGCTGACAAATTGGTAGCAGATCCAAATGTAAGTGAATTTAATGTGAAGCAACATAATATTAATGTGTAATGTATTTGTACTTTCCAGATCTTTTCAGTGGGCGATCGTGCTTGTTTGTTGAATGATGCCTTTGCGTTAGCCGATTCCACTCAACTACCTTATAATATGCCTTTAGATATGACAAAGTATTTGAGTAAAGAAGATCAATATGTTCCCTGGAGTGTAGCTGCTTCAAAATTGACCTCTCTTAAACGTACACTTATGTTTACTGATGCCTTTGTAGACTACAATGCCTACGCCAGAAATTTGGTTGAACAAATTTACGAAAATGTTGGTTGGACAGTGGGCGAAGATCATATGAAGAAGTGAGTAAATTCGTCTCCTTTTAGAATCTATGTAATCCCGATAAAGATATATCTCAGCATCCCGAAAAATATATAAAATCCGTATACTGGGATTTGTGAAAACCAAACCCGTTTCTAGATTCTTTGTTATTAATGTCAGTTTTTATTATTTTTAGCCGTTTACGTGTTACAATTTTGAGCACCGCTTGTTCATTGGGTTTACCAGCCTGTTTGGCCGAAGCCTCCAATCAATTTACAAAGTGGCTGGAAAATCCCTCCGTACGTCCCCATCCCGATATTCGTGAAACTGTTTACTACTATGGCATGTTAGCTTTAGGAAACGAGGAAATTTGGAATCAAGTTTGGGAACTTTTTGTAGCTGAAAAGGATGCTAGTGAAAAGGTCAAGTTAATGTACGGTTTGTCAGCTGTACAAGAACCCTGGATCCTTAGCAGGTAAAAATTAAAAATTAAGTTAATTATTTAAATATGCTTATTAGCTTTGTTCAATTATTTTTCAAGATACATTGATCTGGCCTGGTATGAGAAGAATGTACGCGGTCAAGATTATTTCTCATGTTTGCAAAATATTGCTGCTAATCCTATTGGAGAACCCTTAGTCTGGGATTATGTTCGTGAACATTGGCCCCAATTGGTCGAACGCTTTGGCATTAATGAACGCAATTTGGGCAATATGATTCCTTCAATTACATCTCGCTTCTCTTCCCAAACTAAATTGGAAGAAATGCAAAATTTCTTTGCTAAGTATCCCAATGGTGGTGCTGGCACAGCTGCTCGTGTCAGGGCTTTGGAAAATGTTAAGAATAACATCGCCTGGTTAGAAAACAATCTTTCGGTGGTGCGTGAGTGGTTGCAGTGAAGTGAAGGTTTTAAAAACTATTTTTGTATTTAATTAAACAATTTTGTATTTAATTAAAAATAAACTAAATAAATAATTTCTTATAATAGTAGTATTAAATAAATAAAAAATATGATGGTAAAAATAAAGATTAAATGTTTGATTTTGTCAAAATATTATGGAACTGTTTTTATCTTAGGAGATAAAGAAGATTTAGGTTCAAATTTAAAATTATTAATAAAAGGTTTATAGAACAAATTTTGCTTTATTTCCTTCAATGTAGAAGGAAGTTCAAATGTAAAATTGCAAGTGACGAAAAACAAATAGTTTAAAACAATTTAGAATTCAAATTTGGTGCATTTGGAAGAGAAATTCGGATATTATTAAAACAAATTTCGATATATTCGAAATTTTATCTTGTTTCTGTAATAAAAGTGATTTTAAGATAATACCTTACAGTAGACTAGTGTAAAGTGTAGTAAAAGTTGATTTATTATTGTCGCACCAATTCAAACAATAACGTCGAAAGTTAATGAAAAATTCAAGTTGATCATAAAATTGGCTAACTTTATGGCTAACAAAGTATAAACAGTCGTTTTACACACATATATAGTTCAATTTATTTAGGACATATCAAATTATTATTCTTATATTGTTTCCCATAATCACATTTATTATATATGAGCGATAAGATATTTGGATTTATTAGATTGTTTCCACAATTATGGGAGAATGACACTGTAATACTTACTACTATAAACTTAAATTAAAGTATCCATTGATAATTGACACTCGTCAGTAGGTTATATTATATTTTTGATTGGAATATTAGATTGACAAAATAGCATTACGATTATGTTTGTATTGTATATGTATATGTAATTCACAAATGCCAAAAACGATAGAAACTTCAATCTTATTTTTGGTCTTATCTGGAGGCTATCGTCTTAGATTACTAATTGATTAATAATAATTTGTTTTTGTTTTTCTTGGTTGTTATTTTAATTGGTGAGTACTCGTTAAACGAATAAAAATTAACCATTCGATTTGAATAGTTTTATACGGTCTTTCAACAAGACCGGTCGTTTTCCGGGAAATTACTGAAAAAAAAGTTGTACAGAATGTTGCGACATTCAAAATTATTACACATAATTTTGTGTTGGGGTCTTGTAGCGTTTGGCGTATCGACTGTCGTTTTGGGCATACAACATTCCCAATTAACTGCCTCCATCCAAGATGCCGAAGAGAAATTGGATTATATGGAAACTCAATTGTTGGGCGAAGTTAAGCCTCGTCATAAACGTGAATTAACACTTGATAATGTCAATGATTTAGTTGATGATAATAAGGTACGTGATATTAATATTTTTATAGAGTAGTAGAGCAAATGTATTTGCACCTTGAAAATAATTGACTTTATCACAGTTGTACGATTTTGGCTAATAAATTTTTTGCGATTAGAGTTAAATATTAATAACAATCTCTAACAGTATATAAGGCAGTAATGTGTTAATTTTTTTATTTATTTTAAACTAAATAAATTGATGAATTAATTAAGTTAAGTAAAATGAAATTTATGTTTAGTACATTTTGGATCAACTCCTTCACCTTCGTGAGAATTTTAAATATATGAGTGCCATTCCGTTTATAATTTCAGAAAAAAATTTTTAACCCTATAAAGTATATAAATATGTATGTATTCTGAATACTTATCCCAGATATTATTGGGACCCAAACCTTGTACTATTTTTCAAATATCGGAAATATGTTTAATATACCAGAAAGATATTCGAAACAGCTTTCAATAAATATACATATTTCCTTAACCAAGAACTAACTAACTGTTCCGATATATTCTAATATATTATTTTTAAGAGATTTTGTTCTGATTTTCGAGAGTTTGTATTTGTTTTGTCAAAATTGAAAATGGGGGTTAGACATTGTATCTTTGTTAACAACTTTGTGCAATGATTATTTGATAATGTAAAAAATATAGGATTCGATCTCAAAAAGAGGAACCAAAAACAGGATATTTTCATTAAATTTTAAGTTAATAGTTGACAAAACGTTTATTCTGGTGCTGACCATTCGTGACTAAAGTAGAGAAAAGGCCTTTCCCATGTTCTTTATGTTTATCTTAATTACCATATAAATATATAATGTTAGTATTATTAGTCCCTCATTGAGACAATTTTTATCCATTTCTATATCTTTACAAGCAAAGTTATTATTTTGCGATATCTTAACAATGGCCATATTAGTTCTAGCAAAATTGCAATAAAATAATTTATATTTTTAATCTTCAGATAAATTATCGCTTACCAAGTGCTTTGAAACCGATTTACTACAATTTGTACTTGCATCCCGATATCGACACCGGCAACTTTTCCGGTCAGGAGATTATAAACATTCAAGTTTTGGAGGAAACTGATGAAATTATTTTGCATTCGAATAAATTGAAAATTAACAATGTTTATGTAACCGGTTACGAAGTGCAAGAGCACTATTTGGATGAAGTACGAGAGTTTCTAGTGATCAAATTGAAAACTACATTGAAGGTCGATACCAAAATTAATTTGGGTATTATTTTTGAGGGTCATATGTTGAATAAGATCGTGGGTTTGTACAGTAGTACGTATACAACTCCTGAAAATGAGAAGAGGTGAGTATTTGTTTATTATTGCATTTTGTTTTTAATTTTAGCGCCTTAATATAGGCAACATGTTTTTTGTATGTAAAAGTTCAATATTAAATTTTTTTGTTGTTTTTGCCTTATTTCTTGTTTTAGAAAAATTGCTACTTCCAAATTTCAGCCAACATATGCTCGTCAAGCATTTCCCTGTTTCGATGAGCCACAGTTGAAAGCAGCTTTTAATGTAACTTTGGTGAGACCCACAGGTGATGGTTACCACGCTTTATCAAACATGAATGAAGAGGTATGTAATAAATCACAGCTGGTGGTAAAAGACATATAATAAGGCGGCACTAAAATGCATTTTACATTAAACTATTTAAATGAATTTCGTATTTTGAATTTTTTTAATAAATTAATAAGAAAGCCATTAGTATCTTATATAAACAATCATTTTATCATCAACTAAGTTCTTCCTTATTTCATTCTTTTTCATATTGTCGTAACTGGCTTTTGGAGTCATCTTACTATTGCATTATTTAATTAATACACGTTAAAATATATATTATATATATATTATCTAGTGTTTTACTGGCATTATTTCTCATCTATAATTATTACTTTTTATCAATTACTTTTTAGAGTTCATTATTTTTGGGACAATACACTGAAGTATATTTTGCATCAAGTGTTCCTATGAGTACTTATTTGACATGTTTTATTGTTTCTGATTTCGAGTCAAAAAAAGAGAAAATAAATGCTGTATACGGTGAAGATTTTGAATTACGCATCTTTGCTACTAAACACCAACTGGAAAAGACAAATTTTGCCCTTAAAACTGCAGTAGCTGTCACGGAATTTTATATTGAAAATTTCAAAGTGGAATATCCTTTGCCAAAATTAGGTAAATAAATATGAATGTTTCACCTTTAACACAACAAAACTTAATTAAACCTTTTATATTTCAGACATGGCAGCCATACCCGACTTTGTTTCGAACGCCATGGAACATTGGGGCTTATTGACTTATCGTGAAACTGCTCTATTATACGATCGTGCTTTCAGTTCCACTTGGAATAAACAGCGTACAGCCGCAGTAATCGCCCACGAGGTGGGTCATATGTGGTTCGGTAATTTGGTAACTATGAACTGGTGGAATGACTTGTGGCTAAATGAAGGATTTGCCCGTTTTATGGAATACAAGGCTATAAATCATGTCTACGAAGATTGGGGTTTGGTACGAGTGTTTAAATTAAATTTTTATAAAAAATATTTATAAATATTTTTCCATTTCCTGTTAGCCCGATCAATTTTTGGTGAATGCTTTACATGGTGTAATGAAGTACGATTCTTCGGTGGCCTCTCATCCCATTGTTCAGACAGTCGAAAATCCCGATCAAATCACCGAAATATTCGATACTATCAGTTATGAAAAGGGTGCCTCTATAATACGTATGTTGGAAGACTGTGTGGGCACTGAGAAATTCGAACAAGCCGTTACAAATTATTTAACTAAATTTAAATATAAAAACGCTGTTACCGATGATTTTATCAATGAAGTGGCAAACACTGGTTTAGATTTTGATGTCAAGTAGGTTTTAAAGAAAAATGGTTTTAAGGTTGAGGAATTAATATATATATATCTTTAATTTCAGATTTATGATGCGTACATGGACTGAGCAAATGGGTCTGCCCGTTGTAAATGTAGTTCGTACATCTCCTACAACATTTGAATTGACACAAAAACGTTTCTTTTTAAACATTGAGGATTATAATAATATTTATGATGATTCTGAATTCAAGTGTGTATATTATATATTAATAATTTTGGAAAAGATAAATTAAGATTTTTATTTTTAGCTACACTTGGACCATACCATTGACCTATTTCTACGATAATGATGCTACCGTACGGCGTAAATGGTTTAATTACGATGATACTTCAGTTTCTGTGTCCGTTCCCATCGATAGTAAATGGTTAAAGTTAAACAGCCATCAAGTGGGTTATTATCGTGTCAATTATGAGGATTCAATGTGGGATGCAATTATTGAAGATTTAGTAGCATCACCTGAAAAACTCACAAGTGCCGATCGTGCTCATTTGCTTAACGATGTCTTCTCACTGGCGGATGCAAATCAAGTTTCTTATGAGATTGCTCTCGATATGACTACTTATCTAAGTCAAGAGAAAGATTTTGTTCCGTGGAATGTGGCTGCCAGCAAGTTGCAAGCTTTGCAGGGTAATCTTATATTTACAGATTCCTATTCGGATTATCTGAAGTATGCTCGTGGACTCATTAACAAAGTCTACCAGGAGGTTACATGGACTGTTGATGAGGACAACCATTTAAGAAAGTAAGTTTTAGATTTCATTTTATAGCTTTTAAGTTGTAGACTTTATTTAATACTCGGTTTCCTTTAGTCGCTTGAGAGTTAGCATCTTAACTGCTGCCTGTTCATTGGGCATGCCCGATTGTCTGAAAGAAGCCTCTGCTCGCTTTACCAATTTCTTAGCTAATCCTGAAAACAAACCCGATCCTGATTTACGTGAAATTGTTTACTACTATGGCATGCAGAATATTGGCAAACAGAAAGAATGGGATCAATTATGGGAATTGTTTATTACTGAACAAGATGCCAGTGAAAAATTGAAGTTGATGTATGGTTTGGCTGGTGTAAAAGTTCCCTGGCTGCTGAGAAGGTATTTGGACATAATTTTTTACTTATACTTTGTATGTAAGATCTTTAATGTCTTTAGATTTATTGACTTGGCTGAAAATGAGAGCTATGTACGTCGTCAAGATTACTTTAACTGTCTGCAAAATATTGCTGGCAATCCCGTTGGAGAACCTGTGGTGTGGGAATTTGTTCGTGAACATTGGGAGGATTTAGTAGCACGTTTCACACTGAATGAACGTTATTTGGGTCGTATGATTCCAGCTATTACGGCACGCTTTTCCACTGCCACCAAATTGGAAGAGATGGAAGCTTTCTTTGCAAAATATCCTGAGGCTGGCGCTGGTACAGCTTCTCGCCAACAAGCTTTAGAAACAGTTAAGTACAATATCAATTGGATGAAAACAAACTTGGATCAAGTTACCCAATGGTTGGCCAAACAATAAATTAATAAAAATTGTATAATAATAAAATAAATTTTTAGATTTATTGATAATTTTTTTATAGAAATGTTTGAAAAATATTTGTTATAAAAAAAAATAAAAAGTGGAATTTTTGTTACAGAATATTTTTAAATGTGGGTTTTTTCGAGAAACGGATTTACAAAGAAATTCAGGTTTGTGTTTTTCGATTATATTTTAGACATCGTGGTTATATTTTTATGAAAATAAAAATTCAACACCATATATGCGAATTATTTACTTTTTTGAAACACCTGCTTTTTTTATAAAATTATTGAATTGAGCTTTAGTCACAAAAATATACAACAAAATCTTGTAAGTTTATATATAATTTTGACTTATTTATTTCTAAAGATGGCATTAAAGGATGATGAAATAGTGAAGTTTAATAAAGATTACATTCAATCAATGAATAATGTATTTATTTTTGAAAAAAATTATCTTGTAAAAAAAAAACAAAAATATACATTATATCGGCACTTAATAGATCGATGAAAATTTTAATGATCGATATTCAATAACAATCATTTTCTAAATGAAATTCACCAGTGTTGAGAATGAAATTATTTATTAAATGCCTTAAAGTATGCAATACAAAATATTAAATTGAACATGTAAATGCAATAAATTTATTATGCAAGTAGCGGAAAATCCATTATTAATAACCAGGGAAACCGGAAATTAGCAAATTTCTGGTCGTTGTACAAAACGTATTGAAAAGTTTAAAGAACAGTTTAAAAATGTAGTGAAAATTTGTGGTGTTGAGTCTGGAGAAAATCTTGATGAATACATTTCATTTGCTAACACATTCAATATTCCAAAATTTCCAATTTTCAAAAATTCAGCACGTTTTTCTTCGTTTCTTTCCTTGTATCCATATGTCTTTTTTTGCGCGTAAATCCAATTTTTTTAAGGTCTCAATTCGTAAAAATATTTTGATATGTTGTAGTAACATTTCTAGTGCAAAGCTTTCGATTCATTTAGATAAATTTCAATAAATAATTCTTGGGGAAAAATTTTTATTAGTTGTTTTGAAAATGTTGATTAAATATTTGTTATTAAAAATAATTATTTTTGGTGTCTTTATTATCTTTATTATGTCTTAAATATTGCTTACTCGATTACTGTTTTATTTATTTTTTATTTTTATTTTACAAATGGTGGCAATTAATTGTCGATTTGGATAATTTACAATGTCTACAAAGCTATAATAATGATTTGAGGCATTTTTAACTCTGATACCAATAAAAGACCATAAAGTAATTGCATATATTTTAAGCAAGTCCAAGTGATAAAAATACGATAATATCAGTAAAATTGATTATAAATTTTATATATGCGCTTGTATTGTCATATGTGAAGCGTGTTGTGTTCTATGATAAAATTGAAAACAAAAAGATATTAAGTTCAATTGTTAAGTGACATTGTAATTTCACCAACAGTTGGCGATTTAGTTTCAAATCGTCAAAACGTTTTCAAAAAGTTTATTTTATTTTTCTTTTTAAACTAAAAAATGTTAAGTGAGTTTTTAAAATTAAATGGTTGTGAAATTGTTCAAAAATTAATATTATTTCTTGCAATTCGTAGCGTTAACAGCAAAAGGATTAGCGATATTTTTCGCATTAGCTACTACAGCATTTTGTGTATCTACAATTGTTTTGGCTGTTGAAAAATCAAATTTGGAAAATGATTTACAGGATGCCCTAGATAAATTGGATACAATTTCAACTTTGACAACCGGTACAACTAGTGCTACATCACCTATTACACCATCGTCCACAACCGGTTCTCCGCCATCGACTGAACAATCACCATCATCTACTTCTGATGTAACAGATCCAACTACCAACAGCACACCAGGTGGAGGAGGATCTTCTTCTAGCCCATCCACGGAATTCCCTTGGCCTACAATGACTGTGCCAAATAATCCAACATTTCCTACTTTGCCAACAGATCTTCCTAATCCCGAAGAGGTGAGTTAATATTAATGTTATCTATCTATTCTTTTTATACATGAAAAAGTTTGGCTGTTGTATTTTTGATATCCTTTACACAACTTGATAAGACTTTTTGTACGGAAATGTATTATTCAAAATTCGGTTTTTAAATACTTAGAGTACCATTCAGATAGTTTTATCTATTTAAAAACAAGTAAGAATTTATAGTCGGGCATTGCCGACCATATACCTTACATCAGTGATTATGTTACAAATTTTGATTATTTTTTTAATAATAAAGTATTTAATTTCATTTTTTAATATGGTCCTATCCTTATTAATTTTGGTAGAGTGATTTACGTCTACATCAGTTATTTATGGGGGGATAAGGTCAAATGAGGCCCTATCATTCCAAAAAGTCAGCAGTATCATTAAGACTTATATAAAACTGAGTTTTGGAGTGATTCAAAAACATTTAACATATTTGTGAGCTCAAAACCCCTATTCGGGCGGTACGGTTGTATGGGGGAAATATGAAACAATGGACCGATTTTAACCATTTTCAATAGGCTTCGTTTGGTAAAAATTTCATCTAATTATCTTGAATTATCTTGACCTGCAGAGTGCGCACATGGGTGCACAGACAGACGATTGGACATAACTAAATCGACTCAACGAAAGTGATTTTGAGCCGATTGGTATACTTTAAGGTGGGTGTAGGACCAATATTTTTGGGTGCACAAACGCATAATACCCTCACCACTATTGGCGTAGATTATAAATATGTATTATTTTTAGTGTGAGAGCGATTTCTTATTATAAACGTAAACTGTAACGTTTTGTTTTTGTTGAAGGTCCTAGATACTTTCCGGACTCAAACCTTACTTCTATCAAAACAGTGCAATTTTTCGTAGATTTTATCTAAAATTTTCATATAAAATATATACATTTTCAATAAATCCTTAGAAAGTATCCTTAATATTCTTGTAGTTGAGCCTCTAAAAGAGAAATTATATTAAAAAATGTTTCTTCCCTTAGTGAGCTCTATAAAATGTGGAATACATTTAGAAATACGCTTAGTTCAAAAATTTAAATAAAAATAGGGAAATGTATATAAATAGACTTAACATCTTTAGCATCTAAGCTTAACTCTTTAAATGAATCATGACAATTTAATGGTGTGATATTAGGTCAATAAAGAAGTGTTACTATTAATAATAGTTTTAAAAATTAAATTCCCATAAAAACAGATACAAAATATAATAATTTCTTTATTATGGATAATAAAGGAAAATACCAAAAAAAAAAAAAAAAAATTTATATGAGTGATGAAGCGGTATATGAAACTTTATTACATGCCAACTTATCAACAAATATCGTATCATAATTGTGATAATTATTGTTTTTGTTAAATTGAATTATATCTACATATAACGATATGATTAGACTTTAGAAAGTTTCGTTAAGTTTAACTTTTCGTTTAACGGTCTGATAATGTTCGCTTTGAAGAAAATGTCCAAAACATTATTTGGTCTCAATCACAAATTTGTGTTGGTAATTAAAGGTACATACTAGCTAAATTGTAGTTTTAGTAAAATGGTTCATTTCTTAAACTTATTGAAAGGTAAATAGTAAATATAATTGTTAGATATTGACAAAATTAAACAATTTAATTTCTCTTAACTTTTAGAAAAATGTACCGCCAAAGGTTTTGCAGTATTTTTTGGTTTATTAACGACCATTTTAATTGTGGTCATTGTCATATTGGCTGTGGAAAATGCCAGTATGTCGGCCGATTTAAAGGAATCAAAAGATAAAATGGAAATTTTAGAATTATATATACAATCAATGGTTGCAAATGGTTCCAACAAATTGACAGCTTCCATGGCAGTTTCTTTGCCACCAACATCGTAATGTTTATAATTGTGTTTAAACTATTTTTGAATTTGTTTTATCTATTTTACCGAATAAACTTAATAATTATATTATTCCAATTAAATATTAACTGATTGCTTGCTACCATTTTATTACTTTGTGTTATAACCGCCAAACTTTTGTCGTAAATTTTATTACTTCATGTTGTAAAATTATTTGGAATTTGCTTTATTTAGATAATTTATCGTCTTCCCAATGACATCCGTCCCATAAAATATAAACTTTACATTCATCCTGAACTAAATGCCAAAACCTGTGAAGGTACTGTATCGATTCAAATTGAAATTGACAAGGAAACCAATTTGATCGTGTTGCATGCGAAGGATTTGGAAATAAATTCAGTGAGTATTTTGAATATGATGGCTCGTTTGCGCATACGAGTTAAGAAATTCTATTTGGATGTTGAACGTGAAATGCTGTTTATTGAATTGGAAGAAATACTATATACATCGACTCCGTACACTGTTTCCATAAGTTATAGTTGTCAGTTAGATGGTCTTGTGGGCTTTTATTCCAGTTCATATGTAAGTGCTGACAATAAAGACAGGTAAGTGGAATCTAAATATTTTTATTTCTATTGTGCATGATAAAGCATTTTGTGTAATGTATAGAAATTAATTAAATTAAATGATAATACAAATGGTAAAACCTAAATTCAATGGATTATTCCTCACTAGATGAAACGTTGTGATTTCTGAATCTTTACCTATAAACAACCAATAACAATGATAACAATTTTTGCGTATTACTAAATACTTATCTATTTTTTCATTGGCGTTCTAAATATACCCATCTGTTTGCCCTAAAAACAAAAAATGCTAAATTTAATAGCCGACTTTTAATAAAAATTGGTACATTTAATTTACAGCAAAAATACTGAATTCTTATCACGAAACATATAAAAACATTGACCCATACTCAAAATTAGCCGCACGAGTCTAAACAAAGACAATCAGCCTTAACAATAGACTGGCATAAGTACAAGATCTTTAAGTATAATACGTTTATAGCAATATACATATGTATATGGATCACCCATGCACCTGGATCGAGAGCAATAATATCTTTATACACATAAACAATAAGTCCATCTATATGATACCCTATACCGAACTTTTTTGTCTTGTCTTCTATTGAAGCTCTGGACAATTATGAAACGATCATTAATTTAGGAAATAAAGTTATTCGTGATGTAATTTAGTATCTCGATTCAGGCCAATTTTGAAATATAGA